TGACTAAAAGACTGAAGCATGGCCAAAAGGACATGTGAATCTTCTTGCTCTTCATTAAGACAAGTGTCTTTAGAATTCAAAGCCATGGTTGAATACTGCAATTCCCTGGCTAGTATTCTTCCTCCTTTTCTCTTGTTTGTTTGTTTTTTCACGAGAGTATGTTTGTGCCTTTCCACATCTTAGCTTTCACAAATTTACAAGAAAAAGTTGGACCCGAAGAGTATTCCTGAAAGCGAAAACTATCATTTATATTTTGCTTTTTCTTTTTTCTTTTGTTAAAAGTGAAAACCGTGTTTGCGTGTTTGAGTTTACAAGAATTTAAATCCACCTTCTCAATAGCTATCTCATAGGCATAACAACAATTGTTTGATTTTATTAAATGATTTAAGAGATTTTGTTACATGAGACTTAGAAAACGCTCAATCTCAAATTTTAGAGAGACAGCTTATATAAGGATTGTTTTGAGTTGTTTTAAATTTCAAAATTAATGTATTTTGACAATTTTCAAGTATTGATACATTCGTTGAGTAACTGGATTGTATAGGCTACTCATCGATTCTAAATTCATACTTATTCAACTTTATTATATTACACATTAACCCCTTTCACTGTGATGTGGTCAAAGCTTTGTTTGGGTTAGTATTTATCGTGAAACCATACTATTTTTTGTTAAATTGTGATTATTATAAAATTTCTTTTCATCACTTGTGTGTCACTTTCGAGACATAATATAATGTTTCCATTTGATATTGGCATACAAATTATCATTAAAATATTGCGTGACATAGGACGAGAAAAGTTCATAAGAAAATAGGAAAAAAAGATAGGTACATATAACAATATAACTTTTAGTTTCTAACTTTTTTACTTAATTATTGATTTAGTCCTTACACATTGACTCATTACAATTTAATTAATTCTTATAGTTTATTGCGTTAATAAATTATAAGAACTAAGTTGCACTGAGTTGTTTTGAGTTAAGAAAATATAGAAACTGAGTTATTTTGACTTGAGAAAGTATTAAAACTGAGTTATTTCAAATCAAAATTTAAGAATTTAATTGATAATTGAGAATAAGTTTAAAAATAAAAATTGTATTTTTTCAAAAATATATTTTCTCATACAGGTGGGAAAAAAACAGGAAACAGAGAGACATAAGGGGCTCATTTGATTGCTGGAAAAGATAAAAATGGGATGAATTAAAGAAATAAGAATAAAAATGAATTAAATGATCCTCCCACTGATAGTAAACATAATAAAATCTAATACTACATACAAAAAATATGAAAATCATGACTTTTTTTAAAAGTATTATGAATCATAATTTTTAATTTTATGAATTAAATTATATTTTTTTTTATGAACATAGCTGACTCATCTTCTTTTTATAGTTTAATTATTTTACTTTTGTCTTTATTTCTTTAATTCATTTCATTTTCTTCTTTTCCAGTAATCCAATGAGTCTTAGATGACATGGTTTCTCTCCAAAAGAAGATATGTTTCTTCACTCATTCTAATTTTTCTACCTCGTGTTTCCCCCACTTAACTTTATACTAATTCCAAATGTCTTTATCTGGAATTAATTTTACTTTGCATAAGAAAACGTGGATAGGTTTCTAGAAAAATTATGACTTCTATGACTATAGCCAAATAAAAACAAAAAAAAAAAAAAAGCACGGGCCACGCGTACACATCTCAGTGGCTGAATCATGTGGACATTATTTCAGTCCTCCACTAACTCAAACGCACTGTTGACTTGGTTTAGTTAATTATAATCTGAATGGTGCATCTATAATGATTTCATTATTCTGAATATTTTAATTGACTTAGAGAAGTATCTCAGTATGGATTTTGAAAATTAGGAAAATTTAAATATATATAATTGGTGCGTACCGAATTCAACAGTTGTTCCTTTGTTTTTTTTTTTTTTGGGACCGAAATTGTATCCAACAGTTTCTCTTTTGTTTTCTAATGAAGGGCAAATTTCATGAAAGTGAAACGAGCTGATATGAAGAAGAAAGCATTCATCATGGGCCAGAAGGCGCACAAACTACATGAAAAGTGTGTTGAATACTTTGATCTTGTCCATATTATAAGAAAACCAACTCAAGAAAGCAAATGAGCATACAAGAACAAGAGAAATATTAGTCTTACAGGATTTATTTTATATTCTCTTAGTTCTTATTATATTGTTAAAAACCTGATTAAACATGAGAGCTTGCATTTGCATATCTTAGATAAAATGCTTTAGATTGTTCTTTGAGTTGTGAAACCCATACTTGCAAGTTTTAGAAGCTTACTCATGAATTGTAGAATTTCAAAATGCCTTTGATTCTATGATGCTCAAACATGCAAGTTTTAGGGTGAAACACCTGAGTTTTAAGACTCTAGAGAAGAGGTAATTGCATTTAGCCCACTCAAACACACAAGTGTCGAGTATGAGACATGCAAGTTTTAGAGCGGTAGAGAGGAACTTAGTTCCATGCACTTAGAACATGTCAATTTTAGTAGTGAAACATGTGAATTTTAATGTGGCAATCCTGAACATGGTTTTGGATTACTCCTCCTCACAAGCTCTAGTTCTTACCTTCTCAAATATTGAGTTCATGTTGCAACTTGAGCTCTTAAACTTTCTCATCCTCGCATGTTCTAGTACGACCATCATGAATTTCAATTTATCACTTGAGTTTGCCTAAGTTTGAGCCTTGAATACCTAAATTATATCCTCTCTATCCTAAGTGTTTAAAACTTGTCTAAACCTATATTCCTAAGTTCTAGATCTAACCCATGTAATTTTCAATGTGTTTAAGAGGTCATTTGTCTCTTGCATCTATTCCTCCCATGATCTAGATAGCCTCCATGTATGTTTTAGTATTTGAGAGAAGCTTGTGCTTTTGCCTTCTTAAAACATAGGAGTTCCAAAGAGTCTCCATGTATGTATTGAGCTTAATCTTATTGAAGCCTTTATGCACCTCTCATCCATGAGAGGTTGAACCTAAAACAGACATGTTTTAGAGTTTTGACACACATTTAATGAGTTTTGCAAAAAGTGTTTTTGCCAGTTTCCTCTCCCTCTCCCTCCCTCCCTCCCTCCCTCCCTCACACACACACACACAATGTAATGACTCTAACCGGCTATTGAGGTCTCTAACAACTATAATCTTTCACGCACTATAAATAGAGCCTCATTTAAGTGAGTTGGCAAGATATTAATGCATTGCATTCATTATTATACCTATTGCATTAAATTTTTTGATTAGATCTCTATTATCTGATTTATAAGTTTCAATTGTCATATTTACTTTTTGAGAGAGTTCATTTAAGTGTACTTCATTATAATCTCTTGTGGGAGAATTCATTAGGAAACATTTATTAATTATATTTGAGAGATTTAAGGAAAAAGTTCCTTGCATTAAATTTTGAGAGAAATTTCTTTGTGTGAGTGTAATGATCACAAGGCTTAGTTAAACTTGTGGTATTTAGTGAAAAAAGAATCTCAGAGGTGTTCTAAGCACTAGAAAATGGTTAAGCAGTTAAGTTAAACTAGAATAAATTAATTTGTGCAATTTCTCTAACCATACTCTTTACGTACAACTTTTAAAAATTCATTTTCTCTTGGTTCTTGGTCTTGGAAAACTTTGTTATATATTGATTTTAATACTTTATTTTGATAATTGATTTTAATGTCTTTATTTTGAATATTTACACATCTTTGTTAAAGCTCTTCAAATCTGTTTTCAAAAGAATATTTGAACTTCTATTTAAATATTTCCTTGCCTTTGGATACTTGATCTTTGACTTAAGTATTTATTTATTATTTGATAAAACTTTTACAATCATTTGAAGTATAGCTAAACTTATTGTTTCATTACTAATCAACTTCAGTTTTGAAAGATATATTACAAAAAATCAAAAATTTGTTGAACACCCAATTCACCTCTTCTTAGATGTTGTTGCCTAATGATCTTGTAGAGTGTAACACATAAAATGCATTTTGGATGACTTAGATGGAGTAAGAATTAATTGGGATTGAGTTAGGGACTAAAGTTGGGGTTAAAAATTGGCCCTTATTGATGTATGATCCCAAATAAGACACAAGGGATTGTGTCCTTCCATAGATGAGGCTTAAGGAGTAAGAGTTATTCTCTCTATGTCCATATTACTTGAATGGTTCTACCAGCAAATGTTAACCAAGGGTTGAGATACAGAAATAAGTAACGTCATTAGGCACCAGACATAAATGAAGGGAGCTAATATAAGAAATGATGGAAAGAAAAAGAAATAATTAAAAATATTGAAGATTTGAGGAGATATGAAGAATGAAGATATTTTGTCTTATTAATTAGGAATTTTTTTTAATTATCATAATATTTGAATTATTATTATTTTTCAGTACTTATTGTTATCTTTTCATTTAATATTAAGATTTTTAGAATTTTCTCACATTTATTTTTAAGGTAAGACTGAGGTCTATAAATAGTATCTCAACTCATTTATTTTAGAGACACACCTTTGATTGAATAAGAATTGCTATTATTTTACCTCTCCTCTAAGTTTTCCTTTTTTCTCGACTCTCTTTCTTTCTTTTTTACGTTCTCTTCTCCCTTTTTCCCTTCCCCTTTCAACATATTGGTAATAAGAGTTAGATTTTCACTCTACTTTTACTGCAAAACTCACCCTAAAATACCATCCTACTATCAAGAATTATCATACGGGAACCCTTTTAAGGGTTGTAATAACCCAAGAATTTTAAGTAAAAATTTAAGATATATAATAATGTGTTTTAATTGTATTTGAATTAATTTTTAAAAATATTTTATTAAGAAGGATTCTTGCTTTAATGGGAGTTGCACTGATAAGTTAAGTGCATCAAGTTATGTATTCGATTCTTGCTGGGGAAAAAAAGAGAGATTTTTATTTTTGTGTTTAGTTTTGCCAAATTACCATTTTTGCCCTCAATACAATCAGAATATATTTGCCTTCTCTGCTTTTAGTGAATTCGGGCGAGGACCATTAGCTGAGAGAGGGAGAGATGTCTCAGATCCAGAACCTTTATTCTATCTCCTCCTCATTTCTTCTCTATCGTCGATTCATCGCTGGTGGGGAAGTGCTAGAGTTCCGTACGACGTTGCTGTAGAGATCGCGTCACACTTCTCTTCCTCATTTCTGCACCAATTTCCTTTCCCTTTTCATCTGCAGTGTTGCCTTCCTCCTTTATTTAGCTAGCAGCCATTGGTGACTATGCTCTCTCATCATTCTCGTCAGAGTCATGCTCTGTGATCTTCCCCTCCTCCTTTGTTCGAGTATTAACTTAGATGTATCAGAAATCTCCTTTCCCTGTTCTGTGTATTACTGAAGCATTCCTCAGTAGTCTCTTCCTCGGCTACTCCTTACTCTTCTGTCAGTTTTTGTGTTGGTATGATTCTTCTTGCTTTTGTCATTGCTGTAACGTCTGCTGAGAATCACTGCGTTGAGGCATAGATCGCAAGACTAAGGTTCCCCTGTTTAGTGTCCAAGCTCCCTCCCATTCTCTGTTGTGATATTGATGATTTAAGGTGAGAAACTTTAATTATTTGCTTCCTCCTTACTGCGTGCATACCATTTTGGGTTGAGATTGTGAATTTTCCTCCGTTTTTCTGCAAACTGTGAGTAATGTGCAAGGCTGGAAATTTAATTTTTCTTGAGTATTAAAAATTTATAATTACTGAAGGATTTAAATTGAAGAGCTAGATTATTTCAATTATAGATATTAGAAAATTTGGGAAATGAAATTTAAAGAAAAGGAAGTTTGAAATTTGTCAAAGGACTCATACTTATAAGGTGTTTGATAAGTTGCCTTTAGGAGAGTCTTGCTTGATTTTTATGTTTCTAAAGTTTTATTAATTATTGTGAGAAGTATATTTAGTTCGGGTGTTATTAATTCATGAATTTAACTTATAGGTTGCAAATCAAAAGAATTGGATTATGAATTTTCATGTAACTACTTAAACTCTTAAGGAAAGTATGGTAATTTATAATTACTGGATAAAAGATGGAAGGTTAGAAAATTCTATTTGTATGGCTGAAAATAATGTACCTAAAGTGTTTGATGTAAAGCCTAGGAGAAAATTTTATCTCAAGCAAATAGGTTGGTATGGCTAAAGAATTATATAGGAAATTGGTGACCTAAATAGTAATATTTGGACATTGTTATTTGTAAATCTAATTGAGTTCTTGCAAAGGAGTTTATTTAAGAAGTTATTGAGGTCTTATTTGAGTTTTGGATTATTGAGAGTTATGAAATTGAAAGGTTATAAAGTACATTATCATTTTAAAAGTTACACTTGGATGCTTGGATATGTTTAGGCAGTAGAATTAAAGGTTTCATGTTTTTTTAAATGGTTTGGAATGTCACACATTAAATGTTTGGTAAAAAGCCTAAAAAGAAATCTTTATGAATGAAATGTGTTCTTAAAACTTCAAAATTATTATTGTTAACTTTAGTTGAGTGGGTTCTCTCAAAATGGGATCTTGTTGGTTTAAAAAAATAAAGTCTATTAAAATATTATTATATATTATAGGATGTTTGGAAGAAGAGAAGCTTGAATAAAGTCACAAGAAATGAGTTTGGAGCCTAGGATACTACAGGTAAGTGGATAACGTCCCAATCAATTTATATATTTAAAAATTTCCTTTTATCAATTATTATTTTCAATAATTTACAGTCATTAATATATGTCACTCTAGCATTAATTAATGTTGTTGATTAAATTTCTTTAGCTCTTGAAGTTATTATGATTTATACTTATAAGATTGGCAGAAATACTTTTGTAAATTCTAGTACTCTTTTATTTAATAAAGACAATCATGGAAATGAGTGAAGAAGTTTATGGAATGTTAGTTGTAAATTTTTATATTTTAAAGGATTAATATTTTAAACAGTTCATGTGAGTTTGATATTGAGAAGAGAAAAGTTTATTTTGAAAGTAATAATTTTCTCGCATGTTTGAAAGTGAATTTCAAGGGGACTTTATACAGAACACTGGTTGCTAATGGCAGTTTTGTTAGCCCTTGGCACCATGGTACACCTAGCTAGTCGGGTGCTTATAAGAGGTGCTAGCCCTATGCGATGGCCAACGCACGTGGAATGGAGAGATGGTTATTCATGATCTTCGTACTCACATTTGTTTTGTGGCTTCAAGCGGCATTTAGTTAGCATGACCCTTGTAGACTGTATGTCCACGTTTGTTTCATAGCTTCGGCTGCGTTTGGTTATTTACCTTCGTAGACTGTGTGTCTACGTTTGTTTTTGTGGCATTAGTCGTGTTTGATTATTTATCCTCGTGAACTGTGTGTCCATGTTTGTTACATGTTTTGATAAGTTCCTACAAATATAAGTTTGATTACTTGGTGATTTTGTATCTTGTTGGTTTTAATTAGTAATTTATTTAATATTTATTTATTTTGTTTATTTTCTTCTTTGAAAGCAAGTGATAGTGACATTTGATTTGAAAATTAAATGGTTCAATATTTCATTTAAAGTTATATAAAATTTATTTTATTTCAAAATTTATTAAATTTTTTTATAAAAATCATTGCCTGTTTAACTTACATAATTGCTTTAAATTTCCCTTATTTTATGTTCAATTATTTATTGTTGGACGTTATTTATTGAAAAATTATTTTTGATCTCAGATACCCTAGTTGACGTCGATCCTCCAGTTGATCCATGAGAACTCATAGATGTGCTGGGTAAAGAATTGATCAAAATTTTCCTTTTTATGTAACTATAAATGCTTATATATTTTATTTTGGAGAGGTCTGGTTAGGTGCTCCACATATGCTATGTTTAAGGCTTCTATTTTGGTATATATGCTGTCTGTTTATTGGAAGAGCTAAGCTCCTGACTAACATGATATTCTGTGAATATTTTTATATTGTAGAGTTTTAAAAGATCCTATTTACAGGCGAAGTTTTGTCTAAATTTGTACAAAATTTTTTTAATCTTTATTATAATGACCAATATCAAAAATGTTAAAATTTCAATACAAATTTAATTACATTTTAGAAATGAAATGAGTTTAAGATTAAAGGCTTGCAGGAATGTGTTATATGATTCACATCCTATGTCAGTTACCCTCCATTTTTTTTTTGGACGTGACAAGGGTAAAGTTTCTAAATTAAAGTTCTTTAAGTTATTTGGTAAGGCAAGTTGATGCTAAACTTTTGAAGTTTTTGATTATAGCGAAGGTAGTTATTTTCTGTTCTGGTGCTTATTTTTCTACCCTAATTTTTTTTTCCTAATTTTCCATTTTTGAAATTCCTTTTTTATCCATACTTCTTTTTAACAACTTTATCCTTATTTTGCTTTGATTTAGCCCAAAAAAATTGATATCTTTTAATCCTCTCTCTTACAACCTTAGGCTACACGCAACTCTTACACATAGTTTAGCCTTATACTTGGGTCAAAATTTACCCTAGGGTAGTTAAAGTTTCTATCGATTTTCTTGAGGAGTTTTCAAGGTTCTACAAGTCACTATGAAGATTTCACCCATTTTGTTATTTATTTAGCATGTGTGATCCTTGAGAAACTTTTGAGTTCCCTAAGAGTTGGACTTGTTAAATAGTGACTTCACTTTTTAGGTGAGGGCAACTAGAAAACCTTTTTTAGACAGGATAATTAGACCATCCCTTTCCATCTCACGCACCTTCCATTGCCTACAATCACAACAAAAAAGCCACCTTCAATCATGATGTTTATAAGCTCATTCAATCACTGATATGATTATATTAACCACCATAATATGATTATATTGATTATCATCGAGATATAATTATTGTCATCAATATGATTATGTTGAACATCATTATAACATCCTAAATTTTGATGTGGGATTAATTGAAATAATTAGGGTTAAAATAGCAACACATGAAATTAAATAAGTTAATTATCTTTTTAGATAACTTATGGACCTATTGGATAGTCTTAGAGTCAAGTTAGTAGTTATGGTATGCCCTAAAAGAATACCTAAATCATGAGTTGAAGTTTTGAGCCACATTCATTGCGGCAGATGCATTATATGCCATGGTAGTTGAGGAAAATCAGAACTTAAGGTAGCCAAAGTTCACAAATTAGAAGGAATAAATGATTATTTATAATGGGGCATTATATGGCCAAATTGTGTATAAATTATGCTATTATGTGTATGATTGTTCTATTAGGTGCTTGTGAGCCTATCAAACTTGGTTGACACCTTCATCGAGGCTTATGACATTCAGTTTGGGTTTGAGGCACTTGGATGTTATAAGTTTTGTAAAAATGACCTTTTTATGGAGGATGACCAGTTAGCCGTGGCACATGTGCCATTTTAGGACAAATTACTATTTCACTCCAATTTTAAATATTTCCTTTTTGATTTGGTTTTTATGATTCCCTAAGGTGTTTAACTCTAATTTTAATGTGCTGGGGTTTTAATGGAATCCCAATTTTCAAAGATTTTAATCATTTTATTAAACCTTTATTCTTATTGTGATGAGTCATTAGGATAAGTAGTTCCTAATAGTTGTAATGGCTATGATTATGTCAATCATCATCAATGTCACAAGTAATATGATTTAGTTGATCAATTAGACTTGGCTTTCATATATTCATATCTTGAACTTATGAGAGATAAAATTCATGAACTCTAAAACTCTCTTCTATCAACATTAAAAGAAAGGCATTTCTATCAAGTTTTGAAAGAGAAGTCACATCCACTACTACAGAAATGGATTTTGGCAGCATTTAAAATTTTAGTTTCATGGCATTCAAAAAACATTATAAGATTTAATACTATAATAAGTCTTAGGTGGCATTTCATTAATTAATGAAACATCACGAGACTGATGTAAGATCGAGGGTGTTTAGCTTTGCAAATGCCACATCTTTACTTTTTATTATTAAATTATAATATATATTAATAACAAATATTAATTAAATAAATTATAAGGATTTATTTAATTAGTATGAATATATATAATCTTTAAGTAATTAAATTAGAGAGGTAGCATTTCTAGTGTTGGGACAAACCACCTCTGTCCTTCAAATTAATAAATAATATTATATATTATTTATTTATTACTACTTATTAAACAAATACAAAATAGCAATTTAATTAAAAATCATAGAGGCGGCGGATTTTTAACTCCTTTAGAAAATGGTTTAGAAGGAAAAATGTCCTATTTATAAGTACATGATATCCAATGCTCCTCTAAGGAATGTAAAAGGACAAAAATTAACTTTAACCTAAAAAGAAATATATAAATGTTTCTTCCTTCGCATTGAACAATCATGTGCTCTTCACTCATTCAATTCTTGCTCACAATTAGATTTTGGATGGCCACATTCACTTTTAGAATTCACACAATCACCTCCAATATCCTTTCCACTTTAGTCTCATCTCCCACTTGATAATTCACTCCCTTTCTTCCATGAGTTTAGCATATACATTTAGATTCACAAGGCAATTTGCACACACATGTCCATATTTTCATCTCTTTCTCTCTCCATTTTCTCTTCATCTTTGCTTCTCTTCACCACCGCTTCACTCCATCTTCCTCTTGATCTTGCTTCATTATTCATCCAAATTCAAGGTTTGATCTATGCAAATTATACAACTTTAAGTCTTGAAAACCTCCTCCTCAATTCAATCCTCCTCCTCTACTATACAAAATCACCCTTTTCCCCATGTCATTATCATGACCAAATTTCTTGCTTAGATTAGAGCTTGTTTGGAGTTAAAGATCCAAGGTTAGATCACTCATATTCCAAAGAGTAAAGTGGATTTTCGTGAATTCTTGATCTTCAAGGAGGCTAAGCAATTTTAATTATAATTTTCTTCTTTATTCTAGTTGCAATTTTCCTAGATTTCCTAATTTGGTTTGGAGGATTGTAACTAGTGCTATAAGGTTACCCTTAACATCCAACACTTAATCATAAACTTGAAGAGTAATTACAAGGCTAAACCAAATGGATTACTAACCCCTTAGAAAATCATTAGTTCCTGAAGTGTTAAAAGTGGCAGAAATGGAATTCTAAGTTTTTTTTTCAAATTTTAAAAACCTTTCAAATATAACTTTCATGAGTCAAAATCAAAGTAGAAATACGTATAGAAGTACAAGATACCAATTTGTATACAAAACATTTATATTTAAACAACATTTCAGCACATAAATAGGAGGATGTGCTATGGCTTGTCACCTAAGTGCTGCAGCTTCTCCTCTTTGTACCATGTGCTGTGGCACATTGCACATAACAATAGTTCTATTGCTGTCAATTTGACAGCAACAGTGGTGAACTTTTGATATACTCATTTCTTTATTCGACATCCGATTGAGGTAATCTAGATGTCTACAGAGAGCTCTTTCATAGATCTTGCTAATAGTACTAGTTTCACTCACAAATTATTTTTCAATCAAAAGTTGAGCATCCATTTGAAAACTCACTTCTTTTCACATTTTCACAACCAGAGTGCCCAAAATCACAGCTAAGTGCCACTCACAACCATACCTAAATTACACCTAGTATACTCATTGTGACATGTGCAATACATCATAGCATATAAATAACTAATGCATCTCATTTTCAACTCTCAACCCCTTAACATAAAAAAACAAAGGGGGCAATACTTTTATATTAAACATCATATAATTCACCACAAACATACATTTAAACTTCTTCCTTACCTGCACTAATATTTTGGTTTTTCCTAAATGCTCACACATAAAGTACATACAAATTAGAGCTGAAAATATAATTTTCAACATCAACAACCATTTGGGCAAGTAAATCAAAAGAATATGCACTCTAATTGGCAATATCAATTTTTAAATATACATAATAAAACATCAGAGCAAGTTAATTGAAAGAATATGCACCCCTAGTTGGCATACAGTTAAGAATTAAAATTCATATGCCTCCAGTGTTTTCCCTCTATCATGGCTTGAGCTACCTCCTGAAAATATTGAAGAGAGAGGGATAAGTATAACTACTCAATAACCAAGGTCAATCTAGCTATACACACATGAGTCAATTAATTATATTGATGCAAGTGGCATAAATATCAACTTCAAATATTTACAAATACTTAATACTCATCCACAGCTACAACATTGACAACCATATGGTTGGGCAAAATAATATACAACCTATCACAATAATAATCATGTGACTCAAGATCTCAATATGCAAGGCTACAATAATAATAACTATGTAGCCATAATATTGACATGCACAATCAACTCAACTCGTATATCCTCCCAATACCACTAATTGAAACTATGGGGTTTTTAATCTAAAGGGGTTCGCCTATATGTTTAGACTACCTAAGCCTTTCAATTATGAGGAGCTACTCGTCTAAGGCTACTACACTCACTTGTAAATCACAATTTTTCCCAAATCTTATGTGATGGGATGTGATGCCCCTAAGTTATTCTCCTCATAGAACAAATAAAAACTAGTTAGGTTTAAATCTTTCGTTGAACAAATGGGACAATCCCTCATAGAACAAGTTAAAAGATATATGTATGTATGTATGTATGTATGCATGTATGTATATATAAACAAGCCATCGAGCTATAAATGGCGACTGTACTATGTGGATGTAAAATCTCTACTTCTTTCCTTAAGCGAACTCCCATCTCACATGATCATGAAATGCATAACATGCTTATCACATAACGTGTATATTCTCATCATATCCAATGCATCTAAATTTCAAACATCATATTCATGTCATGCAAATTTCTCAAGCAAACATATGCTAATAGTTCGAATGCAAAAGTGACCTTTAATTAACTTGGCATCAAAAGTGGATGAGACATATACAATTTTTATCTAAAAAATTTGGTTAATAAGCACATTAATGGCAAGGCAACATAGATGTATTATAAACGTTTCATGAAAAAATGACCTGAAATCAAGTTGAGAACACCCACAAACTTGAC